GTCTAAACACGAGCCGTGAAACAAGAATTGGCTTACCGAAAATACAAACAAGCAGAAACATGATTTAAGTGAAACAACTCCCATGTACAAAGGTTTGAACCTCTGCCCTGCAGCAGCTGCAGGTTCTAGCCCAGCCTGTATCCCTCATTCTCTCCCTTTTTCATGCTTTTGAACAGAGCAACAGTTGGTACTAGACACATTTCAGTCACCCTTAAACAAGACAGCAAGACGTCATGTAACACCTCAACACCTTTTAAAATGGACTCAAGAAAAGATAAGGCCAATTGCAAAAAGGAAGAGTCACAGATATGAAAAAGCGGAAGGAGATAGAAACATGTCCGTATGTGCTGGAGAGGTGGGATTTAAAGTCAGAGAGAAAATAGACTGAAGGGAGGGCGAGCCAAAAGCAACGAGGGAGGTCTACGATATGTGTTTGACAGTGTTGCCACCACAGTCCAGTCATACACACACACATTCCTACAAACACAGACATATACACAAAAATGCACACACACAAACACACGCTTGTCTACAAATGGGGTCAGACGGGCTGCTGAGGTCAGTATGGTTGAGGGGAACAGAAAAAGTGGGAGAGGCAGAGACACACACGCGCGCACACACACACACCCACAGGGTTCACTTGAGCCTGGGAAAATCAGTCTTGTACCAAATAAGTAACTGCAGTGGGAGCCTGTCTTGTGGAGCCAGAGCCACTTAGCGCTCACTGGGGATAAGACTGTTTGACAGAGACAGAGAGAGACACAGTCAAAGTCAGAGAGCTGGAAAATTGAGAAAAAATGAGCCAGCCGGATATGAAATAGAGAGAAGTGAGGTGTGTTAGAGAGGAGATTATCAACAAGTCCATCACAAGACAAAAAAAAGCCGAGCTGTCAGAGCTCTTTAGCTCAGGAAACACAGACTGAACTTTGTCATGAACGGAAAACTGTTGAAGTGGAGTTAATTGAGGGAAAGAAACGTTTTATGATACCAGACAGTCATTTTGACATCATGCTGCCATGCCTCATCTCCGCAAAGGATGAAAGACAGAAGATAAAAATGAAAAGGATTATGCAAAAGGTAAAGAGATGATCATTATAATCATATTAGAAGTTTTAAACCTGTCTCAGCCCTCACCCTCAACAAGACAAAACATCCCCAAGAAAGCAAGAGTGGGAGAGGGAGTGAGAAGTAGAGAGTGGGAGGACTGAAATAAGTAGCACCAATAAAGATGTGGTCAGAGCCACAAGGGTAAACCTCTTGGAGTGCGACAGAGGAAGTGGAAGGGGTCTTCAGTCAACAAAACTGTAGAAGGAGAGGGAGAGGAGGAAAGACAGAGGGGACATCTGTACGGGTGACGGAGGGATCTTAATCTAGTGAATTGGACTGGAAACGCCGCCGCCGCAACATCACAGGGTAAAAGAACTTCTGCAGGATGACGAGCATTGGAAACTTAAGCAATAATCAATCACTCTAGTGGAGTACGTAATTGATCCAGGATTCTTCGGTTCTTTCAAAACCTCGAGACAAACCAGCCAAACTGCGAGCGCTGGTGCACGTGTGTTGTCTGTCCTACAGTAACTCTCTGACAGGACGCCGGTGGGACAGCTTTTCATTTTAGTGAGAGTACATTTTAGATCTTTTTTTTTAATCTGGGAAGCAGCACTGCATACTGCCCTTGTTTGTTCTGCTCTGTTTGGACTTTGTATTTCAAATAAGACATTTATAATCATCTCTGATTTATATGTTTGTGTTTGAGTTTCACAGGAACATGGCACTTTAAATGTGCTTCGACAATACAGACACAGAGTTTAACTGAAATCCAAACTGCACCACTGGGACTACTCAGAGAACGCTTTTTATGTTTTTCTCTTGGCTTTTAGTACAGTTAGCACTCCAGTCACATTTGTAAGCCGTGCTGACGTCCAAGATGGATTAGGTGTTGCTACAGTGCGTGATCATTTTTGTAGAAACAACACACGGCATCAGTGCTGTTAGTCTGTATTTAGTTTTCTGGAGGTTTGTGCTAGACGGATAGGTGCTATTATAGGTTATGCACGTCCATGCTTGCAATAGTTGTTGTCCGAGAAGAAGCATCACTTTCTTTGCTTGTAGAAATGGAATTCATAACACTGGAGGAGTAAATATTGAGATTTACAGATACTGAAAGTGTCATCGAAGAAGATATTATTACTACTGCTGCACTGTGCGCCTTCCCCCTGAGACGAAACCACAGTCAGACTCCTTGGTTCCCAGTTCTGCTGCGACAGCTCAAAGTACAATAAATGACCTGACTAAAGGACCTTTTCAACAGTGTTACCTGTATCAGTAGAGCACCATCAGGACATGTTTTGCTACTGAAGAAGAAAACTATAGATAAGCTGCAATTAAAGGCCTGATCCAAACACTTAAAAGTTCTAGAGAGGATCAACGAGAGAGTTACTGCTGGACTGTGAGACGAGTGACAGACCATTGGAGCCATGCTGAGAAGCCTGTTCCAGAGGAAACCTAAACATGAGAGACTGGAAGAGGAACCTGAGGTCAGGTTTAAAGGCTTGCTGGTGTCAGAGAAAGACCTTGGATACAAATATGTCCGACCTGGAGGTAAGGCTGTCTATGCACCTGATATACAGAGCACCACTGCTAGGCTATGTTTATGGCAGTGCCAGTGTTAGCTACATCCAGTATTTGTGCCGAGCATGTACTAGTTAAGATCAGTGTTTAATATAGGGGTTGATAATACAACTTATGAAGTCATTATCATTTCAACTGCTGATTATTTTCTTGATTACTAGATTAATCTGTATCAGCCTCTTAAGTAAAAAATCTAGGAAATTTTGGGAAAAAAACGGTGAAATCATAAAAAATGTGTTGTAAACAAAATGTGTTTAGAGCGTTTAAACAACACACTGACACCTCTGTCCAAAATGTGCATTATAAGAGCAAGGACAAAGGANCTGTGACCTTGACTTTTAAGAACGTGTTCATCATTTGTGCCATGAATAAATCTTAAAAAAATTAAAATATTGAGTAGATCAGATTCACAGGCCAATCAAGGAGTTAACAGGGATCAACTCCATGTGCAGATAATGAGGCAACCAAAGGGACTCTAAAGATTACAGGAAGGCATGTAAGAAGTCTCCTGTCTGTTCCTATGCAATGGGCATATTTGCCTGAGGAAACATTTAGTTGCTCAGGCAAAATTCCTCTTCTTTCAATCTTGCCCCCAATGTGCGGTATATCTCCACAGTTTATTTTTAGCCAGGGGTACCACTTTGTGCCAACTGCCATTCCAGGAAGTTACGGCAGCACTGAGAGCAAGTTGTTTGTCTACTGATAAGATTCCACGACCCCTCCTCACAGAGGTCATGACACACTGGGACTGGCAGCATTACCAACAGCCTGGGGCCTAAACAGTATTGTGCGTCAGATGTTAGCCAGTGAAAAAACATTTTCTGAGCTGAGATACATTCCTGTAAATACAGTTTACTGGAAAAGACCATCCAGTCAAAAACCTTACAGAATGTTAGCTTACTCATTCTGTTGTTGAAACGTTTACATCTCTGAGAGTTCCGGTTTTGTTAGTTATCTTTGGCAGAACCTAGTTACATTACTGTGTGCTTAAATGTATTTAGGGTCTAATAATCCTTGGAAATCTGAGCAGAAACAAAGAAAAATATCCTGTTTGATTTCAACCGTAATGCATTTCCTTTTTGGGCTGTTTTATCATTCCAATTCAGTCAGAGTAATCATTTGGAAACACTGACTATTAGGTTTGTTATGTAAAAACCAACTCTTTCACTCACATAAACCCAGCCCATATTTCCTTTTATCATCAAACGAGTCAAGATTACCGGATTTAAGTGTTTATAAATTTCATTACTTCCCGGCACCAGTGAGCTAGCTGCAATATATTCTCCATGACTGACACCCTGACCACATCCAGAGTCCAGGATTATCAGGGATCATCTTTAATGTGTCCGGGGAGTATTTAAACCTGATGTAAAAGGTGTAAAGAGGTCACAAAGGAAAGTTTCTGTCATGCACATTATTCCACTAAGCCTTCAGGATGTTCAATAATGGCTATGTTGTTTAAGCATCAGTAAGACTGATGAAGTGTTAGAGCAAAGGCATCAAAGTAGGCGAAAGGAATCCAGTGGTATCTAAACACTGCATTCCACCTGCCTCTTACTGAGTCAGAAGGAGACTGTAAGACCAGAGAGGGGGAGGTCTGTGTTTGTCAGCGATTCCAGAGTGAGTGTGTGTGTAGGTGTGTTTAGATTATCAGTGACTGTTGTGGTGTATCTAATCTCCGCTGGCTGGGTTTGTAGTGCTGTCAAGCTCCACTCTGCAATGTGCTTGTGTGTGTGTGTGTGTGTGTGTGTGTGTGTGTGTGTGTGTGTGTGTGTGTGTGTGTGAGCCAGATGCAAGTCTGAGAGCGAGTGAGGCTGATAGAATTCACCGAAATACCTCTGCTCCTTATATGGAACTACTGGTTCACTCTGAAATGAACAGCAAGCTGAACACTCAAACTATATATCTTTTATCAGCCCCGTCATGTGATTGCACTGCATTACATAAAACTGACTGAGATTTGGATTGATAGTGTGCATATGGTAAGCTACACTGAAAGTGGTTGGACAATAAAACTGTTAGGTAATACATCTCACTTTGCCGCAAATTATCATGATTCAGTGCAATGGAAATCAGACTAAAAGTGAGAATGAAATTATACTACAGGTTTCTTTTTTCTTACATCGTGCATTGCGGTACAGCAGAAAGGGGTCCTGGAGCTGGAAGTCCAAGTCTTTGGTGATTGGCTCTGTCAGGTTTTCGATGTTGAGTCGGTTCATTATGGTGAAACCATGCCTGGGAGATGCCAGCCTGAAATACACAGAGGACACATAGACGTGTGACTTACTCATGCAAAATTTCAGAATCAGATTCAGAATTGTATTTGTTGTATTAATTGCTCAATAGGTTTTTACATACAATACATATTAAGCAGGAAAATAGGGGGCAAGATATAAGCAAAGTAAAAAGCATGTATCATAGTAGAGGCGAAAGAACTAAAAGTAGAATATTGATAATGGCGAAGAACATTTTTCTCAATTTGATCC